CGGAATATCTTCATTCCAAAGAGAGGTCCGTGGGTGTCTCCAGCACCTAGCTCCACCTGTGTACACACAGATAACAAATAAAGCTTCATATCTTCAAATTCCAAAGCATGTTGCAGCCCTCAGTCAGACAGCTGTTTTCCAGCAAACAGAGCGTATCCCATGTTACAAACTGAGTGTGCTGGGTGCCCAGAGAATGCTGCCTACCTCTCCCCAGCCCTTGGCTGAGGTGACTCTTCTCATCACCAAGTTAATGGTGCCACCTCCATTTCCATTGTGGGTTGACAAGGAGCCAGACAAAATGGCCGTGTCTCTTGTGGTAAGAGGAGCCTGCAGTACAACAGATAACCAACTCAAAAACGTTTCCTTACCACCGTCACAGACTCAACTGTGGCTACACATGCTTAATCCAAAACTTGAGTAACTCATCACCTCAATAGACTGCGATATGTGCATCTTGTTAATTTCCACATGGGGAACTCCCCCTCCAGCCGTATCTTCATAGTCTTCCTCGTATCGGTCAAAGAGGTCCGTGGCATCAATACCCACACTAATTGTTCCCTGGAAACAACCAGTTCAAAAATTAATACCGTGTTCATTAATAATGTATAAAATATACACAAGATGCCTAATGACACTCTGCGTTCCTCAGCTTAATGTGAGGCTTGTTATCTTTCCGTGAACATACCTTTGGGTTGGTCCTTTGCTGAAGCCTTCTCTCCTCTCGCTCTCTTTGAAGACGCTCATACTCTTCTCGAATCTCTGCAGGGGTTCTTTTTCTTTCCACTACCTGAAGGATGAGGATATGATTTGAATGCAAAGTGAAGGTGAACTGACTGCTTCAGAGGTTGCAGATGAAATGTTACAGCAGAACACATTTCACCACAGTTTCATGCTCCCATGTGCTCTTCCTGTGTAAATATTTGAAAGCATCATATTTTTCACTTTGAAGCATCAAAGGTAAACACAGTTGAAGCAAAAAAAATTGTTATACAGGTTAAAGGTAGCAACGTCAAATAAGAAGAATATGTAGGCATTTTAAAAACATTATGAACATCAAGGGCAAAAATATATTTGTCACAAATATTTATCTGAAATTTTAGATTGTTGTCTAAATCACACAAAACTACATAAATGTGTCTAATTCCAGAATATTCTGACTTGTTCAATTTGTCAAGAAGCTGCCAAGCCTAAACAGATCCCAACTAAACTTGCCCCAAAAAGAGGGACATTGCTGGTTTAAATGAAAAGCAGCTATGGATGCAAATGGAGACACACTACCCCGCCAAACCTGGTGAAAGCAAACATTTGGTGAGATTAATACGAGTTGTGGAACAGGTTTTCAGACTCGCATTGAAGCTCACACGTGACTGCATTCCGACGTGTATGTGTGTTCTCATAGTCAGAAACTGTAAATGCATGGCTTGTGCTTCTTATATAGCACCTGCCATGTTTGCTCATGGCTAGCAATTCACACATGACATTTACATTGAATTTATCATAGAGTATTTTTAAAAATGTATGAAGTAAGCTTGAGAATCATGGTTATGAAACTCAGAACACCACTGAGCTGGTCCCACAGTGTTCTCCTGCCTGCAGTGTGTGTCAGTGTATATTTTGGGTTTGTAAGTAGAGGATGTTGATTTAGTACAGGGACTGTTGGTAAGTGTGTGTGGTAGCTTGTGGAGGAATTATTGGCCACTACAGTCACTGATGGACTTACCTCCCATCCTTCAACATCGAGACCTCGCTTGCCATAGATATCATAGATAGCTCGTGCCTGTGGGTCACTAAGGACTGAAAGAGACAAATAACACCAATAATATTAACAACATTTTCTTTAATATGATTATGTAGATTGTAACATTAGCTCTGTGTGTAGATGCAGTGGTGGGTTAACTGTATGATGTGACCAATGCTTTTCTTACCTTCATAGGCTTCGTGTACAAGGTTAAAAAGCTGTTCTGCTTGTCGCTTTAGTTCAGGGTCCCGGTGTTTGTCTGGATGATACAGCATGCATAACCGCCTGTATGCTGCCTTCAGCTCCTCCTGTGTGGCCTGAAGCAGAATAATGAAGCTTGAAGGGAAAAAAAATTCACCCACAGCATCCAAAACACAGCACAGTGCAGCTGCATCTGAACTCATGCACTACTAACCTGCACTAAGTTGAAATTCATAAAAATCTACCAACCCTGCTGTAATGACATGCAGGTTTTAGATGTGACCAAACAGTCTGGACAAAGATTATGATTATGCTGAGAGACTACAGTGCAAAAGTTACTGCCCTAATAATCATGTATTCTGTGTCAACTGTAGTTTTATTTATTTTTTGAGCAGTTTTACTGCACATAGCTGTATGCCAAGGTTTGTGCACCTGTAGGCAATTTTCTTTTTCCAGATTTTCAATGATGTTCAAGTTGTTTCACTTTCTTGATAGGCTACATGACATTAATCCAGAATTTGCTGATATTTACTTGTGTTCATTCTTCACTTCATCCATGCAATGTTTTCTGTGCCACACAACCCAAAGCCTAACAACACACGTGTGCCCAGTCTTCTGCACATGCCACGATCACTACATTTATATCTTTTTCATGAAATCATGAACGTCTTACTGTTTGTTTCGTGCAGGGTTGAATGTACTTGTTTTCCCTTCAAATATTAACTACATATGTGATTTGCCCAAACTTTTGAATAAAATTGTAATATTCGGTGGGATAGGTTCAACTTTTTCTAAAACTTTCCTGAAGTTTGTCATGTAAACATTAAAAGTATAACCACCGTGTTAAACTTTGATCGCATTACGTCGCGGTGCTACATAATTCTTTTACTTGGTAAAACATCATGTGCATGTTATGCGCATTAAAGATAAACGTACTATGATGAAAGCGTTAGATGTCCAGACAGTGTGCCACGTGCTTATGTTGTAATCCGATAAAGAGTAACCTAACGACGGTGTTGCACGGTAAAGCCCTGAAGTAACGTTATAGTTACAGCAGCAGCACTAGCTCCTGCACTTAGCACAGCACACACAGTTTATTCTGAAACTGAAAACAGTGGCAGTTTAACTTTAGCTCCTCGAAAACCACTGTAGCACACGCTCCTCTAACTTTCGTCGCTGACCGACTACTCCTGCTGGCCAGAATTCCATAGCCTTTTCTGTGTCCTGTAAAATATGCAGCTCAGGAGTGACAGCACAGAAATCAATGTCGAGGGTCACGGGCTAAGCACCTAGCTAACGGTAAATCAGATTATACACGTAACCGTTAAATATCAGGCAGAGAAAACTCGCAGAATGATGGTAAATGCACTCGCACAAACACCTACTCAAATCACAAGTGCATGTTTTACCTCTCTCCTAACATTTAGCAGAGAATAATAATCATCAGTGCCGATCTCATCAATGTCCAAGGCAGACGCCATGTCTACACCCGGTCATCTCTTCTTCGTGTCATTGACGTCTTTGCGCACTCTGACGCCCCCTTGTGCTCGGGATGAACGACAAAACCATCGCAACTGTATTCACAGGCTTGCTCCTCTTGCGTCTGCATTTCATTTATGTTTTAAATTCACAGCTATTAATCATGATTGGCTTTATTATGAGGAATAGTAAGATAGAGATACTATAATGGTATGTGACATGTTTCCAAAGCAACGTGTAGAGCGGTATTTTCACATTGTGTAGCCACGTGATCGATTATTTTTAAACTACTTAATTGTTTATTGAGTATGATTTATTGGTTTTTTTGTAAATCACAATATATATAGATTACTCATTTTTTCTAATGTTAGGGAAAAACATATTTGAAAGTAATATACGTTTTAGATGTAAGAAAATGAATATTGCTTCTATGCCTAATTCTAAAAAGGATATTATCTTCATCCTATCCACCTAGGAGCAGTTAAGACAAGGGGTGAGGAAATCACTTCACTACATTAGGCCTTTCATTAGTTCATTATTACTTTCTTTGCAATAACAGCGAGCCGTTGACTGTACAAAGAGCACCGGCAGCAGAGGAGCTGTCCTTTCAGCACCACCACCTCCAACTATAGTGCACTTCAGCACGCTAGGCCACCAGCGCGTTAATATAGGATAAAGGCTGTCCTTAAGTGCTGTAGTTGATCCAAGTGCCCAAAGCAAAGTCTATTAAGCACAACGATCTGTAATTAGATTGCCTGTAGTCATTTCACGCAGTCATGGTATTGTCAAACTTATGCAACTGCGCCATAATGACAGAAGTTGATAACCTTGACAGCACAGTGAGCAGAATTAAAGTAGCCTCGTGTAACCGGTCTTCAATTCTGTTCATCACATCGAGCTCTGTGTAGATGGACTCCACTACCAGCCCCTATAGTCGCATTAAAGGTGGGATCCACATTTCCTGGAAATGCTTCACACGTTTTATTGTTTTTTTTTTTTTAACAGGTTATAGACCTACAGTATATGTGGACTCTCTGGAAACGCGTATTGATATAACATGGATCAAACAGTAAAACTGACCTCAAAGTTAAAACAAGGTATACACAAATTAAGGACGATTCACTGTTTTTGGATCATTATGTAAAATGAAGTGTCACTGAAAATAAATTAGATCTCCATTGTCATTTTTGATCAGCAGAAGAGAACCTATATTTTAAAAAGATTGGATGGTTAAGGACTAGTTTTATTTTGTCACTCCGGCATGACAGTGTTAAACAACTTTAGTGGGACTCTGCTCAAAGACAAACATTTAATATTCACAACCGTTTAATTAAGGACACCAGATGTAGGCTACCCTCACCTACCGAACATTAGGTTACTCCCTTTTAGTAAAATAACGCGTCACCATCTTCTAACAAACGCAAGACCTGCAGTGCCTCTGTTAAAAAAAAAACGCTGCTGGTGGTGCCAAGGTGAGGGGAGATGTGTTTTTCATCCCGGAGCCTCTCTGTCAGTCACCGTCTCACAGCCAATGGTAAGTTCGCCTCGGTCGGACCGACTCGCTGCTTGCTCCTCCACTCCCTCCTCGTGCTGTCCTCGCCGTGCACGCGCGTGGTACCCACGGTCGTGAGGAGGAGGATGTTGCGCGTGAAGGGGAAATGGCTGCCGAAAACAAGCCGGAAGGTAAGAGAAATATAATGGGATTAATTTACTAGTATGACCGCGGTGTGATTTTAAGAACAGTTGCAACTCCGTGCGGAGATGGCACACGCGCGAGGACAGGTGGGGAAATTGTCGGTAGAAAACGGCTCCGCTGTTTTCCTCCGAATAGGGAGCTAAAACGTGGAGGCATCACCTAGCCAGCTAATATTAGCTTGCATTCTAGCCAGCTACTATTCCCATCGTAGCCCACATTTAAAGCACGCCACGGGGACAAACAGTCAGCGTGGTAAAAGTCTCGCATTTGTCGTTTATTTTGCTCAAGGTCCTTGTCAAATCACGAACAATCCAAGTTAACAACAAAGCCAAGTTAATGACAACATGTCATTGGCATCGACTAACTTCTTCCCTTATTACCCAGCTTTAAAAAGCGGCTCGGTTGTGTTACTTTAACAGTCAGCACGGCTCTGTTCTGCAGCCGCTGTTTGCAGCTTATTTCGAAGGCACTGTGATAATAATTTAGATGTCTTTTTAGGAAATGTGCAAGTGTAGTTGTTTTTTTGTTTTTCCGTCTTGGAGAGGGTCATTCAGTTTCCCTTTGAAGCGCGAGAATTTTCCAGGCATTCAGCGAATAGTGTTTACGAGTCAGAAGTGATGCATTTTTCTTTATTAGCGCATATTATGTTTTCGAAATGCCAATTAATAACCTAGGACTTCGCCTGTATTCGGTTCGAGACACGGCCATCAAAACGCTGTGATTCCCGCTCCGCTTGCAAAGCCCTATCGCACTTGAAATGAAATGCCATCACATCAGAGCAAACAGGGAGGAGGATGGAGAGTAGGGTTTCCAGCAGCCTGTCCACGACACTACTTCACACAGAGGACAAAATGATGACTTTTTCCTCTTTCATTCAGCTTATTTCGCCAACTCAAAATGAAACGCATTAGACATACTTAATGTTCTTTTTAGTGGTGTTTTACTGCGAAGCATATGCATACGAAATCTGTTCTCATTCAGATATGTCCGTGGAATTTTTGGGAGAGCAATTAAACAACGCTAAAAAATAAAGTGAAGATCAAAACCATCAGCTCGTAAAGTAGCCTAGGAGTTGTTCTACCCGGAAGGCAGCTTTCACTGGGGCAGAGAGCGACGTGTTTACAGTCGCTTTCGTATTTGACAAGGATGAATATTGAGATGATAAAAACATACATCAATTTAAACATTTATTTAACCTTATCTGTGTGTTTAGTCAATGTAAATGTTATATTTTTAAACATTTAACTTTTTGAGGAGCAGAATTGAGTGATGATAGACCATTAATTAGTCATGTTGCTTTTTTCTGAACATTTATTGACTTACAATGAACATTGCGGTGAAGCAGGTCGTGCGAAACTTTAAAAACCGGCTGTGTAATTTGAGAAAGAGGGGAAATACAAGATTTCTGTACAACTGGTTAGGTCCAGCTGTTTCTGAGCTGTTCATGATGTTTTGTTGCAGACTTCAAAATTCTACAGGCCTTTGTCACAGTTTGGCATCAGTAACCCCAAACACAAATTCAGTTTGATGTAGAAATACTTAAATGTTTCCAGTAAGTGTAAACAAATAGCTTCTGTCCATATGAGGGAAAAGGTAAAACACTGGGATTTCAGTTGTTTGGATGTCAGTGTGCCAACTGCGACACTGAGTCCCACCAGGGGGTGATATTGAGCCACAGAAGCACCTTTAGCATATGAGGGATCTGTCTGTGACTATGACAAAAAAATGAAGACATCTGGTTCCATGATCGTAATGACTTCACTGTGGTGTATAGTCCTGATGTATTCATTTACATAGCTGAACTTAACAAACAAGCTCCAGTTGTTAATCTTGATTCCTCTCTGTAACGCAGGGAGTTCTCACTGAAAACCTTGACTTGAAAGTCCCATTGCTGAGCAGGTTAAGTTATTTGCAGTGTTCCTGCGAGGCCGGTCAGTGGAAAAAAGGCAGAGGAGGAGCATATAGAGAGAGCTTCGTACTTTCGTGTAAATTAGATTGTCATCTCATGCAAACCAGGCCCGTAAAGCTTTAACAAACTGTCGTCATGCTGAATCTTTACCCCTCCATTCTTCTCAGTTTTAGCTGTTCATTAATTCAGAACACGCTTTTTGAATGTACATCACTATAGCAGATTTGACATGACACGCTGCTGGCTGTCGAATAGCCACAGAGAGAGCCAAACAGTGTTTCCTTAACCTTTTGTCCTTGTGGTATGTGGCCAGTGCTGATCTTCCTTAGTAGTTTGGCAGGTCTTATGATGGCCCATAACAATTGAAAGTTACATCTTGTGTTAAACCCAAAGGCCATGATCCAGTCTCACTCAGTGGTGTAATGTTTACATCCTGGGGTATTTCTCTCTAGCCTAACTGATTGTCAGGGCCCTTGGGGGTAGTTTTTACTTCACACTCATAAAGAGCACTGTGGGTCCGTTAGTATAAGTACAAGGCCTGGAGGGCAGTGAGAAGACAGGCTTGATCTTTCTTACACAGAGACTGCTTTGGATAAAACGACAGTCAGTGGTCTTATGAATCTACCAGAGCAGAGAGTCATACAAATGATGAATGTTGTGCAAAGAGCCAGATGTGACAAATGAAATAAACACTTTAGTAAACACTGTCCCAACTCCTACTGATGCTGGGACTTGAAAAAACAAACAAGAAAAGCTGCATTAAAGTTAAATCTTCATCATCCTCTGAACCTGAATCTCGATTCTGTCAGTTTTATTGTGGACCTAGCACAAGTGTGTAACATATTAAAATTAATATGCAATCAGATAAATTCAGTTTTACTGATACATAAAACTCACACAGTGTCAGTGACAACAGAAACATTCAGGTTGCTTTCTAACATGTAGGAAAAGATGCCCACAGTCCCAGCTGTGCAGAATGTAATATTTCTCTTTTATTTTCTAGCAGGTGCAGTTGAAAAAGTTTCATGATGTTATTATTTCACTTAAAGATCACAGCAAAGTGGCAGCACAGCATCAACTAAGCACGCAGTCAGCGATTAACTTACAAAAGTGCTTGTGCAGCAATGGTACAAATATTTTTCTGCTGTTTGGAGAGAGGGATGAACATAACTTTCCCGTGATGTCAGACAAGATACTTGTGTGTCGAATCGGGCGCTTCACCCACACCCCAGCCTTTTAATTGAATCAGTGGGGTGTGGATGGATGGGACTCAGGTCTGGTCTGTGGTCGCTGAGATACATCATTTGTAATACCTGTCTGTAAAAGACCTTTACTGACTGTTTTGCACAGTTCCCACAGATTGATTGTATTGATTCATCCAGGTTACAACTGATACAATGGGGGGGGCGGGGGTGTTACTGACCCATATCAGACTCGATCAGAGCTACAGTGACCCTTCCTGGCAGCTTTTCTTATAGGGTTCAGCCGATAAAGTATTTCACTGTATAATACACTATAGACAAATTTACTGTGATTTATTATCATTAATCTCATTGTTATTGTTATTATTATTAGTATCATATTTTAGCCAACAGCTCCTGTGTGTTATAAATGTATTTCACTATGCTGTCAAGCTTCTGTTGATATTGCTTGCATGGGGAGTTTGCTTAGTTATCACAGGCTGGGAGAATGTTTCTTTTCCTCGATTTTCTCTACTTTTCTCTTTGCCCCCTGAAGGACTGAAGAAAGTTCGTAATCCGGATCGAATGTACAGATCAGCAGTGTGTTATGCTGGCCATGGTCCACCTAAGAGTATCAGTGATGACACAGAGATGAACAGTAAGAGTCAGTTATTAATACTGCATTGCTGCTCAAAGAGGCCACTAGCTGGCCAATCTATTATTCATTCATTGATTCATCTTTTTACTTCTTGATTTCATCCGCCCCCATGACCCCCTCTTCTTTTTTTATTCTCCTCCAACACAACACCCCTCCAGCTACTCTGTTGATTGAAGTGTCTGCTTTACAGGATCACGCTGTCAATAGCTGAAGTGTTGTCATTAACTATTAGTGATTGTTTCAGGTTTAGGCCAGGAGATCAGGACCTGAACAGACCCTCAGAGAGAAGGCTTATACTTTGAGCCATCAATTATGGCCTTGTACTTGCCTTTTCCCTGCTTATCTTAACCCTGCATTTGATGGGGGAAAAAGAAATCAACCCCAGTATAATTTTAAAATGTTGCAAAATCAAATAGTGTATGACCAAAATATTAATGAATTTCTGAAAAATGTGTGTCATATGATATATTTTTTTGCCCTCAAATGAATAAATCTTTGCCATCTCATTGCGATTGTGCTCTATGAGAACTGTAGACTAAGGGCAAAGAACAAAGACAACACAACATCATAGGATTTTATGACCTGTAAAAACCAGTTTTTGTGGGAACTGCTTCAGTGATCTCACAGGTCTGTGCACAAGTGGTATTTTCTGTCATGACCAAGACAAATCAGTCAACAGTGTTGGGCACAGTCTAGTCTAGATTTTATTTGTGGGTCATTTTCCCTTCATTCCTCTTTAGAGAAGGTGCCTGAATTATAGCCTCTCTGTCTTTACCCATTGAGGAAACTGTCCTCTGTAAAGCAGATTATTTCTCTGCAGAAAGGAGCCCCTTCATTGTTAATGAATACACCAGTCTCTTCACTGCTGGAAGACTCTGTTGATCTAGACTAGAGACTGGGTAATTAAGTGTGCTCGTGTATTGTCATTTCTAAACAGAGTATGAAGTCACCCTCAACCCCTTGTTAGACACCTCACTCAGTATCTGTCACTGGGGGAGCTGTGCTGTACCAGATCCTTCTGGTATTTTTAACTGAATTTTTTTGAGAGAATTAATGGCATGGGACAGCCTGTGCAGATCTTTGAATTGGGGAAGTAGACTATAACAGGGGCATTGTTGATGCACTATTTGCATTACCCCCTCGTGTGACAGCTGTGACTGACAATATGTTTTGCCAGCCTTTCTGGTTTCTCTCATGTTATTGCGTGGTATTACAGTATTCCGTACCCATGTCAGACACCCTGTTTAATGCGTTTAGCCTTGAGGTTTTTCTGCCTCGCCAGGACACTGTAGCAGAATACAGTAGCTCAAAGAGGCAGGTAAACCACTGATCTGAGTAATTGTGGGGGTAGTTATGATACAGAAAGAAGGGCTTTGTTTGTGTGCATGTGTAAGCAAGAGGGAGAAAGTGGAAGAGAACCACAGCAAAAGAGAGGGAGTGAGACAGAGTGAGACCTCACCTCTGCTCTCCTTGAGATGGGATTTTTATGGATGGGTGAGCCTGGTGAGGGCTGAGAACATATAAAGAGCCATTTTCAGTTTGTTGCAGGCAGTTAAACGGGTGTGCATGTTTGTTGAACTTCCAGTAATAGGCCTAGGCTTTTTTTTTTAGCTGTTTGACTTTTTGACAGTCTTCTGTTATTATGCTATATTACACTACACTATTACAACCGCAGAGAATCATAGTTTGTCCAGCATACAGCCATTAAAGGGAATGTAAACAATCTAATTGTAAACAATGAAGCTGGCACACTGCACACTGTATCTTGTTTGGTTGTAGCACAGTTGCATAAGCAATGACGTTCAGTGAGATTTAGTGTACTTCAGATCTCTCACTGGCAATCAGAGTCTCTCCCACTGAGAGGGAAGAGAGAAAGACATCTTTTTGCATCTTTTACTACACCTGTTGTGTGTTGCAGGCCAAACACTTATCCAAGGTGCCACAGCTAGAGGCCATGTAATGTCCACTTTGTTGTAGTTTTGTTGTAACATAGCATTGCACAGTGAAGTTCAGTAAGACTTTTTCTTTCTCTTGTGGGCGGTTAGTAATTTCACTGTATTGTGCATGTGTTATTCAATAGGCTATAGGCCAAATGGTAAAGATAACCGGTTTCCAAATTCTACAGTAACACATAGCTATTTTAAGCCTACATATTCCTCTCCATGTCCCCATCAAGAGCCATCGGGCTGTGGAAGGACTGGCCCCTAGACTATAGGCAGTGTTGTTACTGCTGGGAAAATTTGACAGTGTGTAAACTGTCATATGCTGTAGTTAAAGCTACGGTATGTAACCTTTTTCAAATATTTTTGCTGTAGAAATGTGCTTCCAAACATGTCTTAATGTGGAGAGGTGCTGGCAGGCAATAGACTGATCTAATCAAGTAGTCTGTTCCCCAGAGGCCAAGGAGGCTACCACTAGCATTCCTTGTAAATGCCATATAAAACTGTGATATAGATATTTAAGACTTCAGTAAATTAAATAGTATTTTGTAAAGTTGGGTGAAATTTCCAGCCTCTATAAATGAGGGATTTTCTGCTGTCATGTAAAATAAAAACGAGACACAATAGCTTTCACAGAGTAAAAAGGAAATAGTTTTCTTCCCTGTTAGGCCATTATGTTTAATTAGTTGTTAATATTTTTAATGTTTGCTTTAAAATGTTACATCAGCTGGGAAATCAGGACGTTTGGCCACAGATGATTGGTGATGTTAGCAAGTGTTTTAGGGCTTAGCTGAATCACAGAAAAGTGTCCTAACCTGAAGGCTGTATGGACAACATCCCGTTACTGTAAATACCACTGCATAGCCTCCTGCTGGTTAAACCCCCTCTTTACCTTTCCTCCTTCTTCTGTCACCCCTCACAACCAGACTGATCACTTTTAATTGACAGCAGTCATCACCAGTCATCAGTTGACTGCACCACCGCACCTCGGCTGTCTGAATCCATCTCTGATTTACATTTGACCACATTCTTTTTTCGTCTACATATTTTCCCTTCTGCCAACATCATGTAACTGCTTTCACTGGATCTTTTCCTTCGGTGTGATCCTTAAATCCACACTGTCATCCCACTGGTTTGCCATCTTGCCTCTTATAAATATGGTCATTATACATACTGCATGACACATCCCACACATTCCAATTGTAGATTGTTTCAATTTAGATACTTGCTATATTTCTCTTCCTGTCAATGCATTTCACTGAGTATATTTTTAAACACATCACTGTGCATGCTGTAAAAACTGCCTGTAAGTAGGATGTCATATTTTTCGGTGCATGCTGTGAATTAATGGCATGTATGCCTTTTATTTCCTTCCTTCCTGCCTGTTGTAATAGACCTGTGTGTTTGTGTTTTGTGGTATGTATGCATGTTTTAGTACACACGGAAGGATGATGCTTTTGTTTTTTTATATTCTGTTCAAATCTTTTTATAATGATGCAAGTATAATGATTTAAAAATAACTGATGTTATACTGTTTCTGTCCCTCATACTGTGACAAAATGTCCTTTGCTTTTGGAAGTAATCTTCTGAAACGAACATCAACAGACGACAACAGAGCTGCTTATTTTTTCTTTAAAAGCCTAAGTGTTGGGAACAAAATTCCCTTTCAATTGGGCACCATATAAGAATTATGTAAAACAGGCAGTTGATACAGGATGCTAGAGTGTGGACTTGTGATTTCTTCTTTAGGATTACAATTTGGACAAGAGGTGCAAAGGTTAAAAGCTTTTTTACATGCAGTACTATTCACTACCATTGATAACTTGTTGCTTGGCTACAGTTCATGTGCAGCAGATGAAGGATTATGTTTCTGGTAGCTTGACATTTCTCAACCAGTTGATGAAATGTGTCTGAGCTAAGCTCATTTGGCCAACTGGGCTAATTTCGGAGCTAAACTCTTAGGGGCCCGTTTGGTCTGGCGCAGTGGGTGTCTGTCATCTACCCTAATGATAAGAGACACGGCTATAGGCTGAATTCACACCGCTTCTTACTGGACAGAGATGAAAGACAAATTATCCACAGGATTGTTTGTTCTTTTGTGATATACCTCCCACAGGTTTCAGTTATAGCAGCAAAGAAACATACTGTTACACTGCACCTCACATTCTTAACCATATTAGCCACTGAACTGTTGTGGAAAATGTTTGCATTTAAACTGTTACTTTGGATATGCACCGCCAGCAGCAATTTGTTGAATGATCTATAGCAAAAGCATTAGCTTGCAATTTCTCCACAATGTGGGCACAGATTAAAAAGAAAAACTGTCACTCCCAGAGTGCTCTGAGACAGAGACAGAAGAGAGAGGGTTTTGCGTTCAGGGCTTGGATATTGATTAAAGATTTGTTTTTGTCAGCCTTTCTAGTCTCATGACCCTCGCTCTTTTCTCTAGGGTGGGGCTAGAGCAAGCTGGAATGACAGATACCCTTAAATTCGGTCCACGTGTTTGCTTAGCAGCCAGGATCAGTGATAATCCAAACATCAAGACACAGAAATATATATTTTTATACCCATTCGACAGAGGGTGATGTGAATTATGAAGGGGCGTGCACTGGCAGCCACTGTTTGGAGCACAAATGGAAACATGAAAGCTGCAGACCTGTATCCTCTGTGTTGAAAAGAGCTCCTCTCCCTGTTTAGCCTTTTATATGTGAGCTCGCTCATCAAGACCTAGAATGTAATTGGCTTCAGTGTGCCAGCTCAGCTCAGCACATCCTCTCATGTAACAAGCTCTGGTATCAGCCTGTCTAGCACTTTAGTGTTTTACAACCAAATAGTAGTTTTCTGTGTATCCCTTTCTTGGCTAATATACAAGCAGTCATTAAGCCTGCTGTTTAGACTCCAAATAAATAATAAACCTTACAGAGGACACAGAAAATGCAAAGGTCTAAGGTTCCTTTCAGGCTTTGATCAGCTTCTAGTTAAGAAAAAAAACCTACATTTACTTTTTCAAAAACCAATTTTTTTCTGGTAATTTGTTGTTTATGCTCTGATGAATTCAGA